GCTTTCGCTGCGCACCCCCCACTATTTTTTTTTTTTTTTTTGAATTTTTTTTTTTTGCGGGGGGGTCTGGAGCCGGGGTTGGGGGTGCCCACCCCCGGAACCCCGCCGGGGCGCCGGGGCCGGGGCTCGACAACCCTGAATAGGACGGACATACAAAGTCACTAAGCCTTCCTTACATGTACTTAGTCACTCATTATTTTCCTTACCCTCTCGTCATTCCCTTATGCCTATTCCTATTCAATCTTATACCCGGATGTCGTTCCACAAGGGACAACGGTAGGCTTCCGTTATCCTCGGCAACGACGCCACCTGTCGAGGGCATCGGTCCAGCACCGCACCAGGGCAGCGCGGGACCCTCCCGGTCGCGTCACGCAGGAGTTGGTTTAAATCCTTTGTCACAAATACACATGGAGCTTCCGCAAGCCGCTCCGGCCGAGTGCACCAGCCATACCTCTCGGGAACCCCTACGACAGGATAGGGTCTACGCGAGGCACGACTTACCTCCACCTTACGAGAACTGTCACCTCCCTTCGGTGGGCGTATCCCTACTGAGCTACCAGTCCATAGTACGAAAGCTAATGAGTTGCAATCGCAGAGGTGGACCAGCCGATGGCGATTCTCGTTCGCTGTAGTATAGGGGGTACGCGCGGTAATACGCGTCTATCGTACCCGCGCGCAAACCGATGTCTTGGGGGGGCTGAAGTCCCAAGCGCGGCCCGTCGCTGGTCGACTAGGACGCATCCCACACACCACGCGCACACCACTCTACGAACACAAAACACACACACACACACACACAGACGCACCGAACAACGCGACAACGCTCCTGGCCCCTCGGTAGCCGTCCCATAACTTTCCGATGCGAAAATCGGATGGGCGTCGCTCGCGAGACTTAGTACAAAATCGCACAGACGCAGGGCCTAACTCATATCGACTCGTAATGCAAGCGTATGCAAGCGGTCGTAACGATGGCATACTATGTCGTACCCGTACTCATGCGGTCCTCGTTAATCTTGAGGGTCACATTCGACACTCAAGTGTCGGCTGACACGCGCCTTGAGGGTTGATCTCTCGACGCTAGACAACCGCCAAGCGCGGTTGAAGACCACACACCCTCTTCTGCACTTTGTGCGCACTTTGTGCAGAGCGGGTGGTACACAAGTCCATACCTGTGGTGGCAGTCATTTCTTACTGCCCCGGAGATGAGCCCCTCTCCAGGCCTGGGAAGAGGTCAAGGGATTTGACTTTGACGGCTGCCACGGACTACAACGTCCAACTATATATTTTAAAAAGCATGAATAGACCGAAGGTCCTCTTTATCCCAAAAGAAAACAAAACCTTGGGGTACTCTTCTCTTTTCAGGTGGCGTCAGCGGCCTATAGTAATCCCAAATATTCGTCCATATGTGCTGGTCCCCTTTGCTCCCATAACGTTTAAACACTAGGGCGGCGAAACGTCGCGCGCAGGGGTTCTAATATAAAGTTGCGGAGCTGCACGCCAGTCTCATACCAACCAACGATGTCAATCATATGTGGTAATCGTGGCTCCGACCTTGCGATATTGAATGGCTGAAGGAATATATTGTGAGGGGTTACCCCGCACGATATTGAACGGCTGAAGGACATGCAGGTTCGGTCCTCGCGACATTTCCGCCTTCAGGGTGGGGTGTCTCGACTGGCAATGCAAATAGGCTCTCTGCGAGGGGGAATCCCTCCCCGGCAGAGCCTAGGGCTTGGGATGTCATGGACAAGGACCTTGAATCCCGGCCCAAGACCAACGTCCGACTAAGAAAACCCCCAAGAAGCAAAATAAATACAAGGAAGGGTCTCCTCCGTGCCTCTCAGTCTTAACCTCTGAGTAGGCTTTTAGTACGGGGCCCCTTAGCCTAAGCAGACTTTCATCCTAAGTACACTCATGTATACATATATAAAGGGGTAGGTATGTGACGATCACTTCTCACAGTCTCAGTAGGGTTCCTCACAACCATATGTATATACGTGATCGCAGGCAGTCAAATCCAGGATCTAAGCCACAGCACATACCTGCAATCACATCGAAGAGTCAAACAACAGTCTACGCACTACACGGAGTCAACCCCAACCAATCTTTGCACTCATACCCGTCGCTTTAACCATCTTCTCCTTCATCTGCACGCACCCGGCATCCACCCGTGTCCGGGTTCACTTGTCTCCATGCTGCTTCGTCCTCTTCCGCCTTTCCTTAGCCTTCCCCACGCCGGATTCAGCACGGCTAGCGCCCCGTGGTTCTGCACGAACGTGGAAGTCTGGTCGACGGGGAACATAACAACAACTGAAAAAAAAAAACGAAAAACTTATCCCCATTATATGCGCGTCAACCCAGCGCAGGGGCCGAGCTATTCTTCTCTGTATCGTTCCAATTTTTACCGGATTCAAACACGATTCTGTATTTTCACAGCTCGTGGGTGTCCCTTCTGTATTTTCACGTCCATATACGGCGCGATAATAATAATAACTAAATAAAATTAGAAATAATATATATATATATATGTATAAAAAACGAGCGGTAGTCGGGCAGGAACACGACACCCCTCTCAGCCTGCCCGTCAGCCCCACGCTCGGCCCCGCGGCAGCAAAAGGCGAGAAGGATTATCTCATAGGCCCATCAACCCCTCAAGTCTTTTCGCCACGCTCCTCCGCTCCCTTGCCTCATGATGTTGGCCTCGATCCCTGCGCCTGCTGCGTACCAGTCTGGTGCTATAACCTATAGGGCTAAGCCCAAGCCTGGTACCAGCAGGCCTGACTCACGTAATAACGAAGTAGCCCCCGGCCTTTTGGGGCCAAAGGAGCCACCCCATGCCATTTCCTAACCCGTACTCACACACATGACCACAAAAAAAAAAGTCGCGCCGACCTCCCGACCGCGCCGTGGCCACGCTTACCCGGCCGAATCCATCAGTTCTCATCATCTGGATTCCATGTAAGTCCACACTGGCTCACTGAACCATCCAACATACTATGCAAAACCAGAGAACGGAGCGTCCCTAAGTTAGATAGTTTAATCAAAACAAAACCACTGTTATAATAGAGCATGTCGGCGAACATCCACGTCGTGCCTTCTATCGCGATCAAAAGGGAGAAAATCACGCGCGCCTCAAATCTGCGCGCCCACACACTCTCTATTTCTAGGTGTTACTATCGAACCTTTAGTCCGCGCGCCCCCGCAACTCACGCAGTCTTCCCATAAATTTTGAATCGACCCATTCCTTTGTCAATTACAAAAACCCAGTGCGAGTAGCCTTGTAAGGGTATTCGCACCGACACCGTGACACAGACTTGAGGTTGGTTGTTCAAGAGATGAGGAAAGGGAGCACTACATGGGAAGAGGTCAAAGAAAGAATGAAAAGAGAATTTGAGAAATACTCAATTTCAACTATAACTAAGAATTTACTCAACATCAGAAGAGCTAAGTATGACACTTTCAATGTTTTTCTTCAGTCCTTCATCCAAACAGCAAGAAGAATCCCATATTTGGATGAAGCCCAGAGATGTCATATATTTCTGACTAATTTTACTGACACTGAAAGGCAAGCGGTTCTTAATCAGGCTCAACATTATCCTCTAAGATGGGATGAAATGGTTGCAATTGTCAGAACCTTGCCTACGGTCTCTCACAAGAAGTGGTCACTGAACCAGATCAGTACGTTGGCCAAAGACTAGGAGACAGAGAATGGTTTGTGCAGAGGAAACAATTTGAATGCTGAAAATATTATTCAAAAGATTATGGCCAACTACATGCCTGCCAATCATGCTGTGGATGAAAAAAAAAAAAAAAAGGCAGAAAGTGATGATGATGAGGACGATGATGATGATTATGTCTGTGAGGCGACGATGCTCACCGGTCTGGTCTGTTCCGAGGGGAACTTCGAAGGGATCGGCTACTAGTCGGTTCGACCGGCCTTCCTCCTGCTTGCCCAAGTCCGACATCCGCCCCACAAAGCGTGCCGCTGCAGCCTCCTCCTATAACCAACCCCCTTGAGAGTTTGCCCCCCCTCGGCCGATCAGGCAAGTCTCTGTACGGTCTGCC